AGACTTTGACAAAATACAGTAACAAGGATGTTATATGAAGTATTCACTGTTATTAGTCTCTCTAGTTAGTTGGTCTTGTTAAAGAAGTTAAACCAACATAACAATAACATATAGGTCAAAATTTGCTAAAAAATCTAAAGGGAATATTGGGTTCTAATTTTAATACTTTTATAAAAGATTTTTATGTAGCAAGAAATAGCTTGATGGAGAAAAAATTTAATAAGAGATAAGTAGTTATTATAATATGAAAATTTTTTATTAAAGTTAATTTAAATATTTTGTTTATCTTAAGATAGAAAAAACTACTACAAGATTATTTATAATCAAAAGATTACTTGATAAGAGCTTTGGAATCTAATATTCAATTATGAGTATATGCTTTTACTAATAGATAGTTTACTGCTAGTGTATAGTCAACATCTCGTAATAAGAGCAAAAATTCAATATTAAAGCATCTTTTAGGAAATTCAAATCTTTCATTATGTAAATTATTTGATACTTTAGAAGAAAGATATCAAGAGGAATATGATTATTGCGAATTTATAAACTAGAAGCAAACTATACTATAAGTTGGGCCAAGAAATATAGCCAAAACTATTTTTGGACCTGTAATGCATTAATTAAATAAGTTCTTAATGCCAAATGTAATAAAAAAACAGGAAGAGCAAATAGATTTAAGTCTTTGCTACCATGCTATAGAAATTGAACTCAAAGCTATACAATTTAAAAAAAAAGTAGCATTTAATATTATCTAGTATATATAAAAATTTCCTCTGTATATTTATAAGGCTATGCAAAGTTGAATTTTCATTTTGCATTACATGGAATCAAAAAATTGGATCAGTTAGTCGATTTTTTTTTTTTTAAAAAAAAAGTAAGGATTTGAAAAATTTGAGTCAGTGAGTAATGCAAAATGAAAAATTAACTTTGTGTGGTCTAATAATGCTCTTTTTGTTAAAAAATTTTTTTTTACTTTACCAATATTAAGGAAGTTGAAGAATTAGATCAGTGTATTGATAATTTATTTGATTGCCTGCAAGTACAGCTGAGTTTATTTATAAATAATACCTCAATAATTCTTGAAATTTGGGAGGTTTAGTACTTAGCAAATTCTGATTCTTCTTATTTTGTATATCTTTTAAATGATAGTATATTCCTTTGCATATGTATGATCATTAAGTCTTATGGTTATCTATATCAGCATTTTTATTATATTCTGACTCTCACTCCCACTACAAGATTTCATATTGGTTTAGTAAATCGACATTAGTACAAAGACATGCTGCAGAGGTTTGATATATCAAATAATGAATTCATAGCTATTTCTTCAAATATATATGTATCAAAATCAAAAACATATTCCTTGCTAATATGGTTTATAGAATTATCTAAATTTGATGCTAGAAGGGTCGAAATGTTTGCAAATAGTAGTTCAGAACAATCATATAAAGAAATATTTAAATCTATTTCAAAAAAGTATAAATTTGGTGAAATTTGGAGATTAGGAAGAAAGATAATAGTTGATATGATTAAAGATAGCAATGATGAAATTTATTATAAAATTCTTGAGTTTTTTTTGACAATCTAAAGAAAAATGTCACAGAGAATTGTTAATAATGATATGGGTAATAATTTTAACTATAGTATTAATGATCTTAATAACAACATATTGAATATTCAAAATCCAACTGAATAACGATCAAAAGGCTAATCTAAATCAAGTTCAAAAAGAATTAAGAGTGTTTTAGAGAAGCCTAATACCAAAACTAAATATATGTGCAAGATTTGCAAACAAATAGATCATAATAGTAAAACCTGTAAGGAAAAAGAGCTATAAGATGTTAATTCAAATGAAGAAAATGATAAAATAGAGAGGTAAGTTTATTCAATTTATTCATATTAGCATAAATTTAATGTATACATCTAACTATGTTATTAATTATGCCTAATTTCATAGTTAATATAAGTAACAAAGATTGTATTTAATATGCCTAAATTTAATACTAACAAATTCTATTCATGTAGGTTATGAAGAAGAATTATCAATCATAAATTCAGACTATGAAAGCATTCAAAAGGATACAATAGAACCTAGTACTAGTTAATTTGTATTTATAGTTAAATAATATAAGTATTTATCTTATTACTTTTATCATCTATATATGTATAGGATCAAGTAATGTTATAGTAGTAGTTTCATTATCTATGTTGTCAAATGACTTCAAAAATAATAGACAAAGACAGTGTAGTATCTGTTGTCAAAAAGGGCATAATGCCCGAACTTGTCCAAATAAGGAATGATAAGATTTAAAATTTATACATAACAAAAAGATTATTTCATTAGTGTACTTCTTTTTATATATTTATATACGATCATGCATAATATTATTACTTGAATAAGATACAAGGTCATATTCAATTGTAGAGTTTAAATCAGACTAGTAAGAAAATGATAAGTCTAGACGGCATTATATAAGAGTATTAAGGTCAGTACATGTTTTATTTATTTCTTATTCATTTATAAGCACAACTTCTATTTATAATTTGCAATTTTCTGTTGATTAATATGTGAACCAACTTGCTTTAATCACTCCAATGTTTATTTTCTGTACTTCCTTATCTACTAATGAAATTATAAATTATTAGTAGTATCAGGTATGTTAGATTATAGAAATTATAAAAAGAAAATTGAATCTATATGTAGCCTAAGCAGTCTTTTTTTGTTATCCTACTTGAACAATTATTAGGAAACAATATCTTCTAACTATATTTTTTATGTTAATTCTGATGAGTTTATATATATTAGTTAAGTTCAAAACTATGAGCTATATTCTGAATAATTAGCATAAGCAAAAGTTTACTAGGAAAGTCTAACTGATGTTTAGCAGCATAAACTGATATGTCATTATACTTTCTTAGTAAACTTTCACTTATGCCTAATTACCAGGCTACAACTAATATACTTATATGCATAGATTTCTATATACTTATCTAAATAAAACCTTTATTATATGATATATAGATATGTATTATCTAAAATTTAATATCACAGTATTTATATTAAACTACCTAAAGTAATATATAAGATATCATTTATTAACACTTGTTACAGAAATTATTTTTATATTAATTTTGGTATGAAGTTATAAGTTTTTTTTTCAATAATATAAATAGTTTAGCTAAATGATATCTATTTATTAGATAAACTCATGATCAAAGTTCACAAGAAGTTAATATCTTCAAAGTATTTTATTTTTGCACCAAGTGTAGAGATCAATATTAGTATTATTTAGTAAATATAAGTGTTATTATTTAAAATAATATTTAAATATGTAAGGTCTTATTATTAATTATTAATTTTAGATATGCATAGTCTAATTTAAAAGGATCGCTATGTGTTTCTTAATGAACTACATTTTTTGATCTTTTTTTTTTAGTAAATATGAAATATCATAGAATCATATTTCTTTTTGCTAACTACTATAAAACTATCATTTTATGTTTAAAAAAAAAAAAATCTTTTCAAGTTTTGGTTTAAACTAAGTTCTATTTCAATTTAGTTCTTTATTCTAAAGCCAATTTAAATTCTTATTATAAAGCAACTTTAAAATAGCATTTTTTGCAAGATTTAAAAATTGTTAGTTAAATTTTTATAATATAAATTTAATATTCAATTAGTTAATTGTCATGTGTTAAATTAAAAAAATTAACCAATTAGATAATTTTTTATGAGGTCACCATAGTGATAGGTCATCATAAACTAATGCTCATTATTTAATATATCTATCTAAAAAATTAAATTTATTTTTAAAAATACTACTTATAAAAATAAATTTATTATATTTCTAGATTCTGTTATAATTACAATTCTGTACTAATAATAATAAAAAAAAATAAGATAAGTATTAATTACAAACTCTTTATATACTAAATTTAATGATAAAAACTCTTTCTCATAGATCCCAAAACAATAAGAAAATAAAATATATTACAAATAAGTTCAGAAAACAACAATTAAATAATTAAATAACTAAAGCCTGTATACAAATACAATATTCTACTAGCTACTTCTA